CACACACACACACACACACACACACACACACACATCATGTGATGTTTACTCTCAGGTGTGTCGTGTCGTGTTAAACATCGAACATTTATCAATCAATCAATCAATCAATCAATCTCCACATCGATCAGACTCACGCGAGAGCTGATGGAGCCGCAGATGAAGATGATGAAGAGGAGTATCGCCATGCCGACAGCGATCAAAGCGCAGCAGCTGCGCCTTCTCATAGAGATCGATGATAATCAATCAGCACTGCACTTCCTGTTTTGATCACATGACTGCTCGAACCTCATTGGTTCACACTCGACAGCTGCGCAGCACGTCACGTGCGTTCGAAAAACACAAATGAATCTTTTTTTGTTGTTACATTGCGACTGCTTTTATCTTGGTCTATATAATGTTCTTAATAAAAAAAACTCTTCTGTTGTTTTCAGGTAAACTAAGTATTTCATGTAAAACGACCTGATGTCATTTAATGATGAAAATTAATTGTTCACAAAAGTTAATAATATTCGGCTCTTTAATCTGCAAGGTCAATAGTAATGAGATATATATGTTAGATTTAGCATGTAGATTACTGAATTAACCCTGTAAACCCTCAAATATGATACACACACAGGTCATATATAGTGTGTCGTGTCGTGTTAAACATCGAACATTTATCAATCAATCAATCAATCAATCAATCTCCACATCGATCAGACTCACGCGAGAGCTGATGGAGCCGCAGATGAAGATGATGAAGAGGAGTATCGCCATGCCGACAGCGATCAAAGCGCAGCAGCTGCGCCTTCTCATAGAGATCGATGATAATCAATCAGCACTGCATTTCCCGTTTTGATCACATGACTGCTCGAACCTCATTGGTTCACACTTGACAGCTGCGCAGCACGTCACGTGCGTTCGAAAAACACAAATGAATCTTTTTTTGTTGTTACATTGCGACTGCTTTTATCTTTGTCTATATAATGTTCTTAATAAAAAAAACTCTTCTGTTGTTTTCAGGTAAACTAAGTATTTCATGTAAATCGACCTGATGTCATTTAATGATGAAAATTAATTGTTCACAAAAGTTAATAATATTCGGCTCTTTAATCTGCAAGGTCAATAGTAATGAGATATATATGTTAGATTTAGCATGTAGATTACTGAATTAACCCTGTAAACCCTCAAATATGATACACACACAGGTCATATATATATACAGTGGGGAAAAAGTATTTAGTCAGCCACCAATTGTGCAAGTTCTCCCACTTAAAAAGATGAGAGAGGCCTGTAATTTTCATCATAGGTATACCTCAACTATGAGAGACAAAATGAGAAAAAAAAATCCAGAAAATCACATTGTAGGATTTTTTAAGAATTTATTTGCAAATTATGGTGGAAAATAAGTATTTGGTCAATAACAAAATTTCATCTCAATACTTTGTTATATACCCTTTGTTGGCAATGACAGAGGTCAAACGTTTTCTGTAAGTCTTCACAAGGTTTTCACACACTGTTGCTGGTATTTTGGCCCATTCCTCCATGCAGATCTCCTCTAGAGCAGTAATGTTTTGGGGCTGTCGCTGGGCAACACGGATTTTCAACTCCCTCCAAAGATTTTCTATGGGGTGAGATCTGGAGACTGGCTAGGCCACTCCAGGACCTTGAAATGCTTCCTACGAAGCCACTCCTTCATTGCCCGGGCGGTGTGTTTGGGAAATAATGCGATTTTCTCAGCTTTTTTTATGAAACCTACCTACAAGTGTTGATAAAAAAACAATGCTTGAAGCTAGAATAAAACGGAGTTCTTTATTTTCTGAGTTCTGTATTTTGCTGTATTGCATGTTCAGATATTCATACAACAAAATATTCTGGGGGCCGTGGCGGGGAAAACGGTGGCAGGGAAAGAGTTAAAAGAAAAAAAGCAATAAGCCCCGTGAAGCCGTGGTTTACAGTGAATTTATAACAGCTGAGGGGCGTTGTTAGGCACGACGCGAAGCAGAAACCTCTCTTAGCGGTCATATTTGACATCATAATCATATTTGATCCTTCAAAAAACAACTGCGTTTCTTCGTAAAACATTTGAGTGAAAAAAATGTGTGTTTGTTTGCTAAATATTTGCGTTAATTTGTAAAACATGCATTAATTTCATAACATTCGCTTTCATTAGGAAAACATATGCATTTGTTCTTAAACATTTACGTTTGTTCACAAAAACATTTGCATTTCCCTGAGAAACATTTGCGCTCTCTTCCGAAACATTTGTTCACTCATAAAATATTTGTATTCCTCTGAGAAACTTTGCATTTGCTTGCAAAAATCTATTGCACTGCCTTAATCAATTTTGTGTTTGCCTGTAAAAGAAATAAAATATAGATTACAAAGCGGAGAGTTCCGGTGCTTGACTCTGATTGGCTGAGCTGTGTTCGAAGCTGTTGTAAATGACGCTACAAAGTAACACACACCTTTGTTTACGTTTGTGTGTTGCTCGGCAACCACTTTGTAGCAACCACAACTGTTTCTGAGGAGCTACATTGTTTGGTGGAAGAATACTGTGTTTATTAATATCATTACACTTTATTTGCTCTGTTTTATTTCGTGAAACCTTACTACGTGTATGGAATAACCGTTTTATAAAAGCAATAACCCCCGTGAAGCCGTGGTTTACAGTGAATTTATAACAGCTGAGGGGCGTTGTTAGGCACGACGCGAAGCAGAAACCTCTCTTAGCGGTCATATTTGACATCATAATCATATTTGATCCTTCAAAAAACAACTGCGTTTCTTCGTAAAACATTTGAGTGAAAAAAATGTGTGTTTGTTTGCTAAATATTTGCGTTAATTTGTAAAACATGCATTAATTTCATAACATTCGCTTTCATTAGGAAAACATATGCATTTGTTCTTAAACATTTACGTTTGTTCACAAAAACATTTGCATCTGTCACAACGCTCCACATTACATCAGATGACATGTAGCACTAATATTATTAGAGATTAAATTTAAACAAGTTTGACGCATGCATAAACAAATGCATGTACAATCAGATTTGATCCTTAGAACGTGGATCCAATCAAGATTTAGAAAAACAAACACTGAAGCGACTGAAGAGCATGTGTACAAATGACTGCATTCATATATACCAGTAATGAAAAAAACACACTATTGTGTATTAAAACCCTCATCTGTTCCTCCCGAACCTATAACAAAAGTGTCCCAAAAAAGGCAAAAAAATGACCCAAATTTTTATTTTTGGTCCAGAACGCTTTTTTTTTATGTAGGTTTTTTTTTTTTTTTTGTGATTTTTATTTTATTCACATTAAATTCTGGATATTTTTATGAAAATTAGCCTATTTTTATACATTAAAAAAAAACAAAAAAAAAACAAAGAAAGACAATTTCTGCATATTTATACTTTAAACATGATGATCCATCAGGACCTTCAGGTCACCGAGTGTCTCTGATGCCATCTGGTGGAGAAAAATGACAAAAAATTTGCATTTTATGATTACAGCCACTAGAGGGCCCTGTAGAATCCTATGGAGATTATTAAAGCAGCACTATGTAACTTTTGGCGCTCTGTAGTGATGGGAAGTTCGGATAATTTTACCGACTCGTTCAGCAAAACGAACGAATCTTTTTTCGAGTCATTTCGTTAATTTTAGCTAAATATAATTAAAATGTTACGTGTTACTTCCCTAACACGTCTACTACTTACGCAAACGTTGATCACACTACAAACAATACAAAACTGCAATAAGAAACAGAAAAGATGAATTAATTGTTTACCTGGGTGTTCAGTCTATGATTAGCTCACCTCAGCTCTTATCTGACAAGTCTTCAGGTTTGGGCTTAAGGGGCTGTCACGTGATGAATGAACGACTCAAACCCGAAGACTCGAACCAGGTGAACTACTTGACTAATTCCAGTACAGAACCTATAGGATGTTGCGCATGCGCGACTGAACGAATCACTCCCCGAGACGACTCGTACTTCCCGAGTCACATTAAAGATTTGTTCAAAATGAACGAATTGTTCAAGAACGACCCATCACTAGCGCTCTAGCGGTTAATAAACAGAGCTGCACACATCCCGCGGAAGGACATTCCAACCGGATCTACTTCTCTAAGTGTATGTCTCTGGCGATTCACGCAGGTGTGTGTTCCTCCGCAGCGGTGACCAGGCTACAATAGTCCGAATATAAGTATTTATTGTAAGTGTACCGTAGTGATTCGGAATAAGACAAAAGCGCGGTTTAGAAGATGAAGTTCTTAGCAATGCACTCACTCATTATATACATTTTGCAAATGTTGAACACAGAAAAAGTCACGTAGTGCTGCTTTAAATGAGCCAAACAAGTGAAATCTTTAAAACTACACCAACTTGCGGCTTCATTAAGCTTTCAGATATATCTCAAGGCTTTCAGATATGTATCAAAACATTTAAAAAAATAAAACCCCCCCACTTAAACTGCTCGAAATCACTTGAATTTTTTTTTCGTGCATTCCCGATTCAAGTGTGACAAAAGTAACAAAGTCTCGTACCATAACGATCCACGCTCGATTTTTAAAAAATCTTTAAAAATGAGTTTCGGGTCAAAATGACCCGAGGGACGGATGAGGGTTAAAACAAAGATGAATAGATAAGATGTCAATCATAACCATCACAATATGCATTGATGAAGTGCAAATGGGCGTTGTGATGTTATGGCAATTAATTCATTCATTTAGATAAATATTTTTGCTTGAATTTAGGATGGACAGCAATTTATGAAATTGGATGCATTTAGGAAAATTTTTTGTGCATATGGATGTTCTGTAAATAATTTGTAGGAACATTTTAGAAATGGTCAACTTTATAAATCAGGCCTGCTGATTCCAGAAATGTTCATGTTTTTCAGGGTTCCTGTTCTTTTTAACCAATGAATCTGCATAAATTTTCTAGTAATTTGTGATATACTAGATAAGGACAAAGAATAGTTTTTAAAAAATATATTTACTGATCAAATATTTTAAAGTTTGGCATAATTTGAATTTTTTTCAAAATGCCCATGTTGGTTACAGATTTGATTAATTTCCACAACTTTTCGAGGCTTTTATTCTCATATAATGCGTGTCTGTATATTAGATGCGTGCTGGTCTTAAAGGGACGGTACTAAACATGCTGCCGACTGTCATTAAAGGGATAGCTCACCCTAAAATGTAATTTCTGTCATTATTTACTCACTCACGTGTTATCCCAAACCTGTATTAATTTCTTTCTTGTGCTGAACACAAGAGATGCTATTTTGGAGAATGTGGGTGAACAAACAGTTGCTGGTCCAACACTGAATTTGATAGCAGGAAAAAAAATACTATGGAAGCCAAAGGGGACCAGCAACTGTTTGGTTTTCCACGTTCTTCAAAATAGCATTTATGTTCAGCAGAAGAAAGAAACGCATTCAGGTTTAAAACTACTTTTGAGTGAGTATATTATGGTATCAAAATAAAACACTATGACAGATTTTTATTTTTGGGCGAATTATTCCTTTAATGTTAATAAAACATGAGGGTGAGTAAATGATGACAGGATTTTAATGTTTGGGTGAACTATCATCGTGAGGCCCCTGCTGGGCCCCCGAGCGTGTGTGTTGTTGAGTACCTCTGGTGCAAGGTATTCTGGGGTTCCACAGAACGTTCTCATGGTGGCCTCATCTGTGATTCCCTCCTTACAGAGACCAAAGTCTGTGATCTTCATATGTCCGTCTTTATCCAGCATGAGGTTCTCCAGCTGAGAGAACACAGAACATGATCATCATCAACACATAACCAACACTACCGTCTTCTGTAGAACCGCTTTGCTGCTGAAACAGCTGTTTCACGACTGCAAATGTGATTTTATACAACAGTTCAAAAAACAAGAAACTAATAGTGTTACATTTTAAACGCAATATTGATCAATTTCACAATTGTGACCCTGGAGCACAAAACCAGTCACGAGGGTCAATTTTTTTAAATTGAGATGTATGCATCATCTGAAAGCTGAATAAACAAGCTTTTCATTGATGTATGGTTTGTTAGGATCGGACAATATTTGGTTGAGATACAACTATTTGAAAATCTGGAATCTGAGGGTGCAAAAAAATCTAAATATTGAGAAAACACTACCGTCTTCTGTAGAACCGCTTTGCTGCTGAAACAGCTGTTTCACGACTGCAAATGTGATTTTATACAACAGTTCAAAAAACAAGAAACTAATAGTGTTACATTTTAAACGCAATATTGATCAATTTCACAATTGTGACCCTGGAGCACAAAACCAGTCACGAGGGTAATTTTTTTTTAATTGAGATGTATGCATCATTTGAAAGCTGAATAAATAAGCTTTTCATTGATGTATGGTTTGTTAGGATCGGACAATATTTGAAAATATTGAAAATATTATCTTATTCCTCAGCCAAAACTGATGTGGAGTTAATTAGATTAATTATTTGGCACAATTAGTTTAACTCTTTTTAATCGCTTGACGGCCCTAGTGCAGATATAAAGGTGACTTGCTTTGACATAACGAGGACATTTCTAACGTGTGTTGCATTGATGTAAGAAACTATGCAATATGTAGCAACTTTCAAGGAATTCAAACAATTTATATGTACCCAAAAATCTAAACTGCGATGAAAAATACTAAATAAAATGTTGGTGTGCGTCTGACCTTCAGGTCCCTGTAGACGACGTTCTGTGAATGCAGATAGTCGAGAGCGGAGACGATCTCAGCGCCGTAGAAGCGCGCTCTGTCCTCAGAGAAGACACGCTCACGGGACAGATGGAAGAACAGCTGCGGGCGAGAGACACGTCAGAACCACACGAGAGAGAAAACAGCAGCGTCTGACTGAAACACACGCTCACTAGAGTTAATCGACATCAAACTAGCGGCAATTCAAGCAACAACTAAATACTTCAAACTCAACTTAGTCTTGTCCGTAAATAGTTCTAATCAAAACCACAGCAGAACTGCTGAGCGTCTCTGATCAACACACAGCAGTGACTCACTACTAAATGAATCCATGTTTTTGAACGAATGGAGTGAATCAATGATTCAGTGACTCATTCATAAAAAACAACCAATTGCTATTTCTAAATGAATCAGTTGAATGAATGATTCAATGACTCACTCATTGCACCTACTGTTGCTTTTAGTTTCATAATTAGAGATACATTTCATTTTTTTTATTTAATATTTCAATATTCAATTCTCAAAAAAAAAAAACGGATTTCATATTAATTATGCAATGTTCAATCAAAATATTTATTCTAAAGCTACTTCTTTGTAATATCTATTAACACAATAATGAATAAATTATCTTATTCCTCAGCCAAAACTGATGTGCAGTTAATTAGATAAATTATTTGGCACAATTAGTTTAACTCTTTTTAATCGCTTGACGGCCCTAGTGCAGATATAAAGGTGACTTGCTTTGAAATAACGAGGACATTTCTAACGTGTTGCATTGATGTAAGAAACTATGCAATATGTAGCAACTTTCAAGGAATTCAAACAATTTATATGTACCCAAAAATCTAAACTGCGATGAAAAATACTAAATAAAATGTTGGTGTGCGTCTGACCTTCAGGTCCCTGTAGACGACGTTCTGTGAATGCAGATAGTCGAGAGCGGAGACGATCTCAGCGCCGTAGAAGCGCGCTCTGTCCTCAGAGAAGACACGCTCACGGGACAGATGGAAGAACAGCTGCGGGCGAGAGACACGTCAGAACCACACGAGAGAGAAAACAGCAGCGTCTGACTGAAACACACGCTCACTAGAGTTAATCGACATCAAACTAGCGGCAATTCAAGCAACAACTAAATACTTCAAACTCAACTTAGTCTTGTCCGTCTCACTCACTCTTCTCGTCAGTCAGCTGGACTCGCTCTCCTCACTGGAGAAATTTAATCTGATCTGTGATGCGACTTGTTCGGCACGCTGCATTGAGCAGCCGCGTTCAGTTTTTAACTGTAGTGTCTGTTATGTTACTGAACTAAATGATTTTTATTACTATAAAAAAAAACGCTCTTACCTCTCCTCCGTTAGCATACTCCATCACAAAACACAGCCGGTCAGGGGTCTGGAAGGCATATTTAAGAGTCTAAAACACAACAGAAAGCAGTCAGCCATACAGAGACATTCATACATGTGACATGAACACACACACACACACACACTCGCACGCGCACTCGCACGCGCACTCACACTCACACTCACACTCACACACACACACACACACACACACACACACACACTCACTCACTCACTCACTCACACACTCACTCACTCACTCACTCACTCACTCACTCACTCACTCACTCACTCACTCACTCACTCACTCACTCACTCACTCACTCACTCACTCACTCACTCACTCACTCACTCACTCACTCACTCACTCACTCACTCACTCACTCACTCACTCACTCACTCACTCACTCACTCACTCACTCACTCACTCACTCACTCACTCACTCACTCACTCACTCACTCACTCACTCACTCACTCACTCACTCACTCACTCACTCACTCACTCACTCACTCACTCACTCACTCACTCACTCACTCACTCACTCACTCACTCACTCACTCACTCACTCACTCACTCACACTCACTCACTCACACTCACTCACTCACTCACACTCACTCACTCA